AATTCCTCGTGTTTGAAATCTTCACTTATTTGAAAATAGCTCGTGAACACTATGCTCGTGGTCAATTTGATTTGAATATTCTTGTCGTGTTCGGCCTGCGTTCGACTTGAAATTAGTTCGATAAAATTAATTAGAAAAATAGATTTGGGGTGTTGGATTATGATTTAAACTTGGATATATATATTTTAAATATTTTGGAGAGGGAGTAATTATATATGTATGTATTATTAAAAAGGGGTGCTGGAGAGTCTATAAAAGTTTTTTATGGCAAGAGCCTTTGAGTATCTAGAGTGAGTGCCTAGTGGGAGGACTTCCTTATTTAAGAGTAAGTGAACTATTGCTTGTGTTCGTGGAGTTAGGAAAGGAATCTAGTGGAAAGCTTGGGGGTTTCTAGCATCTCCGCGTTTTATCATTTGAATTTATGTTCTTTCTTGAATTAAACTTTGTAAACACACTTCCATATCTTGGATTGAATATAATTGTATTGCTTTATTATATTCTCTTCATAGGCTAAACTTTCTAATTCTTATATGGATTTCAAGTTTACTAAAATTACTTTTTAATTTGCATTTGGTTTAATATTTGAAAACTTTTAACAAATTATTTATGAATCATACTTTTGCTTAGAACTTCATGTGAATTTGAGATATCGACAGTCCTTAACTACACTTGGAGATTCACGATGTAGATTTAGAAAATAGACATCTTCTACTTAAATCTTTGTAATGAGTAGGAATATGTGTATATTCCATTTTTAAAATGCCTATTACCATAGACATATGACTTGGTGTTTTGAAAATAATTGTTTTTGTTGCTATCAACAGATACCTAAAACTAGTATTGCTCTCGATTAATAACTTAAATTATTTAAAATATTTACATCGCATTGATTTTATGAATAAAGAATTTATAGGAAGCTTCTATCACATTTGAAAGTCAATAGAAAGAAAAATATAAAAAATTAATTATTAAGAAATTATCATTTCCTTATAGAATTAGGGTTTATGAAGTTAGTGTATTTGACTTTAATTTTTTATCATCTCATTTTCCCGTGGGACGATTTCAAAATCATTTTCTTTATATTACTTACACAATACATGCACTTGCATAAGCCCACATAAAATCTGGTCAGTCCCGACCGCAATGATTCCAATTTGACCCGATTGGACTCTTTAATTTAACAATCACAAGCATTCTACTGTTTTGCATCATAAATCTCCATCATCATCTCATGTAAATCATGCAAAAGTTAAACCCTTCTCTCATTTATAACATCTCATGCACAAAAATAAATGACACTCTTGATTACTAAGAAAACATACAATAAAGAACACGATCTCTTTCGAATTCACGAGTGAGAAAAAATAAGCCAAAAATTAAAAAATTAAAAATAAAAATTTTAAAAATTAAAAACAATAAGATTATAACTATTTGATTCAACTGAGTTAAATATCTATGAAGATATTTCAGTTGTACACATGACTACGTAACGGCAATCGCCTATGCACCAACTCACTAACATAATATATATCTCAGTAGCATAATATATATTTGTATAAAGACAAGAATAAGAATCATAACAAATTGATTATAATTAATGGCACTAACCCCCCAACTATAAGCTACACATCACTGCATTAATGACGACAAAATAATATCTGTTGACTATAACGCTGATGATGTAAGCTGAACAATAATATTTGCCAATCTTTAATTCACATTATGCGACATAGCTCCAACCTGAATTCAGCGAAGTGGTTTCGTCTCTACTGCGCATTGCCCATCGGACGTAGTAATATTGCCACGTAGAAGAATTGTTCTTTAAGTTCTCACTCTTAATTACGTAATTAGTATGAAAAACTTATTATTTAGCCATTTAATGGCGAGTAAATACATATTATCGTGCGAGAGTTTAATAATAATTGTGTGAAATCATCAGCTACGAAATCGGTTAATTAAAAACAGAGAAGTGGTGATTACATGCATGTACTTACACGTGTGTCGTTCGATCGTGCAAGGAAAAAATCGTGTTTACCGAGACAATTTAGTATCTTACAGGTGTACGCTGAAATAAATTTATATATATATATATATATATATATGATGATTTTGCAAAGAAAAAAATTATATTATTTAGTAGAGTTGAAATGATTTCATTAATGCAGCCGGTAAATTAACATACTTTTCTCGTAAGCATAAACATAATGCATATGCTTAAATCGTGTGAGATGTCATGAAGTGATGAATGGGACTATAGTTAGTGGAGGATGGAGGGATTGGGTGATAGTGGAAAGTCAATCGGTGTGGCCTCCTAATAGAATGAGAATTAGACGTTCAAGTTTAAGGGTTTGTTTGGGGTTTTGGTGCGGTGCAGTGCGATACCGTACCATAGTTTTTTTTATTTGGGCAAACTGCATTTTGACAACTTTTTTTAAAAAAGATGCCGCTAAAATTTGCATTTTCTGCGGTGACAACTTTTTACATGTGGCCTGACTTTTTCAAAAAAAAAAAAAAATGTAACTGTCACTAAAACTTTTTGAACATCAGATTATTTTTTTGTAGCTTCACAGCTATTTTTTAATAATCTGTAGCTACCTCAAATAAACCCTAAAATTACATGTTAGTAGCCAACGATCAACATATGTCAAGTTTTAGTAGGTGTTTCATGGTATTCAAAGTGCAACATTCAAAGTTTAAAAAAAATGGGTGTTCAACTTAGGGTGTGTTTAAGGGAGTAGGGTGTGTTTAAGGTAGCAGTGCGGTGTCACCCTACATTTTGTGGCCTTTGACAAAATTGTGGTTTATCTTTTCTTAATTTTCAAAATACTACGGTGGGAAGCTATGTTTGAAACAGCGATAACGTTCATCAATTTTTTTAAAAAAATTGTGTTCATCGAACCTCCAGAGACAAGTTGCAATTTGAAAAGATAAAAATCGCTATTCTTCACTATAGGAAAGGTGATGATTAGAGTCAGAATTTTTTCGATGCAAATATTACCATCGATTTGTGTGAGATTTGCAGTGAACTTAGACGCTATTGAATGCCGTCAGATTTGCTTCGATGTTTCCATCGAATTTGCATCAGTTTGTCCAACGCAATAATTATATTCAATTTCATCGATAATTTCTGACGCAAATATGATGGAAATCAGATGAAAAACCCCTAATAGACCTATCTCGTGTGACAGACTCTCATTTTATTTCTTCTACTTTCGGCTCGTTTGCTCCGAAGCATCTGTGTGTGATTTCCACTACCCTTATTCTTCGACGTTCCTAGGTGCATTCCACCTGTGAACTCGCGACTTCGGCGACCTCATCTCCTCTCTGAACATAAGGTATAATTTTCTTCTCTCATGTCTCTCTCCTTCACACGAGAAATTCATTTTTTTTTCATTATAAAGTGTATAAAAACTTATATTTTGAAGTTTGGTTTGAAATGCATATGATTTGTTCTATTTTATAGGTGATATTCAGCCATTTAGGTGTTGGATATGTGATGCATACTATTTGTGTATCTAGGGTGAAAAATAATGTTTATGTGTGGTAGATATACGTACTAAAGGGCCAGTGTTGCTCCAGTAAATGAAAAGAGAATAATAAAATTTAGTTATATTTTGTTGAGATGTGAATGCTTAGGTGGATGAGTGGCTTAACGTTTAGTGAAGGGGTTTGTGTTGCTCCTACAGTTGAAAAGGTTAGAGAATGTCGTTCTAGATGCTTTGGTCATATTAATTATCATTCATGTGATGATTTTGTTATGAATTAATGTTTTTGAAATTTTGGGTATATTGTTCAAAGTAAATTATTTTATCTAGCTAGGTGGGGATATTATTAGTCCAATTCAAGTTAGATGGTAGACTTGGAGGAAAGTAATGGGCCAATTTGTGATTGAAAAGTCCCGACCATGCTTTAAAAGGAAAATTTGATAAGATGGAGGCAAGTCTTCCAATGTTTTATGGGAAAGAATGTTGGCCTATAAAAGAGAAACATAAAGCCAAATAAAGTGTTCTCGAGATGAGAAGGCTTATGTGGATGATGATTTTACACTTACAGATAAAAAATGAAATGAATATATTCATACAAAGGGTTGGTGTATCTCCCGTACTGGGAAACAATAATTGAAAGAGCCGCCTTAGTTATTTTTGCACCTTAAATGTCGACCATCGGATCACCTTACTAGGAATAGTAAAGGTAGACCTAAGAAGATTTAGGCATAATCTATTAGAATTACATAAAAAACTGACACACAGTGGGGCATAATAGAGAAAAATGATTAATTCATGTGGCCGACCCCAGTTGGTGTGAAAAAGATTTTGTTGTGTTTAATACATAAGAATTATTTGGTTTGTATGTATAATTTGAAGTTTAGGTGTTTAGGTGTGTAATACATAAGAATTATTTTGTTTTTATGTTAAAGCTGAAGTTTAGGTATTACTATGACATAAGAAATGTGTGGTTTCTATTTTGGGTGTTAGATATCTATAAGGCCGTCAAATAGTGTTTAGCGCAGTAAGTAATTCGTGTTCAATTTGTTTGTTAAATGAGTGAGCCGAACATGAACAAGATTTTCTAGCTCTATTTATAAACGAGTCGAACATGAACTGTCATTCGTTTGATCGTGTTCGGCTCATTTTAGTTCGAAATAAATAAGTAAATAAAAATAATATTACTATAATATTTTTATATTAAAATTTTATGTTATATTTAATTGAAAAATATATGTTTAAAAATATAATAAAGCATTTAAATTTAATTATTTATTTTTAAAAAATTGAAATTAACCTCCATTAGATTAAATCAACCATCCTTAATTTTATTCTATTAAAAGAAAAAACTAAATATCAAAACCTAAGCCAACTGCCCTCTTGTTTTTTTTCCTGTTGAGTAGTGTCACGATCATGAGGGGGCGAGGCTGCAACACTGCTTCCTTTCCATCCTTAGGGCTTCAACCAAGGTGACTTTACTATATCACTAAGCGAAGAAAGGCTTCAAAGAAGCCAGCGATCACACTGAAAAAGGTTCTTTACGAACTCCTTCATTTTTTTCCTTTTTACGATTATTTTGGGGATTACAACCAACCAGAGGTATTTTGAAATGTGATGTTCTTACTCCCCTTTCCTTATGAGATATGGATCTATGTATCACTGTGTCCTTTTTTATTATTGTTTTTAACTATTATTATTCCAAAATGTGGATTCCAACCTAGAAAGCTTGGAACTTCCCATCTCTAGAAAGTAGTGGATTTATGATTATACTATGTTTGTGAAGGACTTTTAGCTCACTCTTCTCTTGGTGTCCAGATGAGCAAAGGCAGGAATGATGTTTTTTATTTTAACCTATTTTTTTAGAGTATTGATTCTAAATTACATTTCTGGGCATTATCGAGATCCATTATTCGTTTATGTAGTATTGCTAACTTGCTATTAGCATATTATATTTCTAAATCTTTGTGTTTTTTTGTGATTTTGTTGTAGATCTGGTTTGAGTTATAATTACCTTTTGTGGTTTTGATTCTCTATAACTTTATAACTGATTGTCAATTTATTATAGCTGAAAACAACATTGGCTAACTTCTTATAGACATGTTTGCTTCTTAGAAATCAGAATGTGTGAAAATTTTTATGATTATTTAACTCATCAAATTTTATTCTTGCAATCTATACATGTTAATACCCATAACAAATTATGTCTGATAGTGTCTACTAGCATCACATTTTTTTCTATTTTTGAAGTTTTTTTTTTATTTTCTATACTTTTTAAAGCATTCTCGAGGTAAATCGAGCTAAACGAGTTTAATTCAAACAAAGCAAACAATTTCAAACTTATTCGAACAAACCATAAAATTTAGTTAATTTCGAGCTAAAATGAACAATTCAAACCAAATTCAAATAAATTAAATCGAACATGAACACAAATTTTCGAGCATGAGCCAATTTCGAACACAACAATTTCAAACGAGCCGAACATGAACAAGAGCTCGATTCATTCATGCTCGGCTCATTTACACCCCTAGATATTTATAACATACATAGTGTACGTACAACTATAATTTTTTTTTTATTGATCCATAATTTTATATCTATGTTGTAGATGGATATTCAAAATTTGAGATCATAGATATATAACGGATTATATTCAGGATGAAAATGACTTAATGATGAGTTCTTGAATTGTGTTGACGAATTTGTGCGTGAGGCATCTCAACTGCCCAATACTATTCAAGTGACATGTTCATTGCAGCTCGCAGGAAAGGGGAGCGGCTCGTCTTGGTGGGAGGGGCTTTGGAATTAGTTGACCACATTCTAGGCATCTCCCTAGTATCAGAGGAAGAGCAGACGAACCGAGAGAACCTCGCGACCATGAAGGTCACAAGCATTACACTTTACGTTGGAGGCTCGACCCCCCACCATGAACACTGTATATAGGAGGCTCGTAAGATTCTTTAAATATTCAAAATTCTAATAGTTGATGTAATTATGCGGTGTTAATCATTTTCTTATTTTGTGCGGGCTAAGAAGTATGACCGTCAGCCCTCCACTGTTTAGTGGTATGTTCGAGCACATCGACGCCCAAAGACGCAGTGGTGGATCTCTGAACACTTCAGGTGTGTGAATGTAAGTTACAAAAATCAACATTTATTTTGGCTCTTAATGTTAAAAATGTCAATTAATCATTAGTTTTAATTATGTATGAGGAGTACGAGCGGCTCCAAGAGAGGTAGACGACCGACCAGGCCCTTACCACCGTCAGCAGCAGAGGTAGCTAGTATAAGACTGCACAATCTGGTTTTGAGTTATGATCGCAAGCTGCGGAAATTAAGAAGGGGGGGTTCTACGACCTGGGTGCAAAGGGATTAGCATTTGAGGCAAGATTTCCCGAACTTCAATTGCTTCTGTGAGTGGCACGAGCTCGTCACAACAGGATAATTAGGAGCTTGCCATGCAGGCCGCTACTTTAAATGAAGAGCTTCTTCATATGCATGATGGCCTGCAAAGAGTTGAGGACAATAAAACACCTCTGAAGGAGAGCAACGTAGATTGCCGGTTTAAGCTGTCGATGAGTTTTGTTACTGATGAGGTGGAGGAAATTGATTAGGAGTTTTTATGTATTTTTTCCCTTTTGGAACATTTGAATTTATATTGTAACTGCAGATGTGAACTTCTAATAATTTAGATTACTATTTGTTATATTATATTATTTTTATTGTTTTTATTCATTTGTCATTATATTTTGTTTTGTGATTGATGTGTGCTAGAAGATTTACGGTAGTAGAGCAATAGATTATTATCTTAGCATTGCATGCATGAATATTCAGCACACACTTGGATAAAAGAAAGCAACCAGTAGAGATACCAGATGCTTTTACGTGGAAAACTCGTAAAAGGAAAAATTCACGGACCACTTGTCCCACCCGGAAAGGGTTATAAAGTCTCCCAAACTACAACGTTGACGTGTAGATGAACTTGTTGCAATGAACAAGCGGCCAATGATAGCGATTTATTGCGACCGACAATTGGTTGTCGACGACCGTCGACGGTGGTTAACGACGACAGGAGTGATACTGGACTTGAGCTCTTTCTCAGCTTTAAGAATTTCCTAAATTCTCAAGCTCTCTACCTCCCCTCGCATGAGAGGCAGAGACATCTATTTATAGAGTTCCAAGTGCAATTAATGCAGAAATATAAATCACTTTGATCAAACAGTCTTTGATCAGACAATAATTGATGAACATTTGAGTGTCTTAACGGTGTCAGAATTGAGCGATCTTTGATTCGTTGAATTTGTCTTGTCGAGTCGCTCGATTCAACTATGAAATTTCCGGATTTGACATATATTTCACATTCCAAATGTGTCTAGAAAACTTTCAAAAAGTGGTTTAACGACTTGATTTGTGCTTTATTTGACTTGGGTTAGATCAATTTTGGTATCATCGGGTTCACAAAGAGAGATTGGTATCATCGGGTTCACAAAGAGAGAGAGAGAGAGCGAGAGAGAAAGAGAGAAAGAGAGAGAGAGAGAGAGTGAGAGTAAATAAAATGATTAGAAATTAAATATTATCCAAAAATATTTAATGGAAGTCATTTTGAAAAATACATCTAAAAAATGAAGATCAACCCAAACTATTTAGAAGATTGCCTCGTTTTATTCAATTTTGGTTATATATATGTTATTTTCTTATCGAGTACTTTCATATCCAAAAATTCGAAGTTGAAGGAGAGGAATGCTAGATGTATGTTGTTGGGCTAGCTTATACAAAAAATAAACTATGTAACCCAAATATCAGATAATTAAAACATTATATTTAGTATGAAATCACTATTTTTCATGCAGAGTTATGGGTAACAATAGTACATGTGGAGTATGAATGCATCTGACCTACATGTAGAACATACACAAATATGTACAACATGCACAATAATATCATACACACAGTCCGAATGCATTCAAACTACATAAGTTATAATATTATCTCAGAGGCCTGTTGAAGAAGTTTCTTCGTTCCATCTATTCAACACACATTTGTGCTAATAGACCTTAACTTTGTTGCGATTAAAGCCAAAAAAAAAAAAGGTTGTTTCTCTAAAACTAAAATTACCTTTTTTTTTGTGAATTATTATTATTTTTGGAGTCATGACAAGAAGGCTATCAGACTATACGTACATGGTGATGGCATGTCACGTTTGGGTTGCGGGTCCTTAACAAACTGTTTCCACTCTCGTGCATTGAATTTAACAAAATGGTCCATACAAACTATACAAATACAGAAATTGAAACCATAACATATCAATTTGAATTAAATTTTACATAAGAAAGTTAGATTTGAATTGGACTAAGCTATCATGGACCATATTGATTAATAAATGAAAAAAAAATTGACTAATAAATGAATAAATATATAGACAAATGCATTGCATATGTGTCAATTGATGGTTAGGCCACTCAAAACCAAGTTTATATGCATTCAATCAATTATGTTGGCTCACTTGTGCTTGCATGGGTCCTACCATGGTCATGCTCATATTCCAAGACAGCTCGGTGTAGTAACCGAACCGTTATATTTAAGGTGGGCAACTGCACCCCTAGAATTTGCAATTTCTTTATATAAATGGTAAAATTTAATATTTATTTCTTATATATTTTAGACAATTTAAAAATTTTGCCGCTCTTTCCCCAATACTTGAGAGAAAAATAGACAACTTGTGATTTTTATCCGCCTTAAAAAATAATGTAGGTTCCGCCCCTAACTTGTTGATAACAAGATGAAAAATCTCAAATGGAGTTTAAGCACTTCACCCTACATCATGAAAAATAATCATAATAATTATTATTATTCTAGTGCCCCCCTTTCCTTATTTTTCTCCCCACCAACAATTGATGAGGACTCGTGTTGTAGTGCCCAAAATAATAACTTTATTGGGATTTTAGATGAATAGTGACAATAATATATGATATCTTTCTTCCCTTGATAGTTTATGGCCATATTCCAACCTAATGACTTGTGATTTATGGGGATATTTGTTATGAATAAATCAAAAAATTAAATTACATAAAACTAAAAAATTATTAAAAAAAAATCTCTAAAAAGTTATAAAAATTTAGTAATGTCATATTTAAATAATTAACCTTTACATTTTTATCATTATGTATAAAATAGGTAAGACTTTGATAAATTTTAATGATGATTAAAATAAAAAAAAAATCTTCAAGATTTTTCTTTTCTAATTCTACGTGTCTATACATAAGAAACCTTAAATATGGGACCTCTAAAAAAAGCTCCTTTTGTCTCATTCTTTAATAGGTTTTTGGTCATTTCATTTACTTTTGTTGGTGCACCCTAGTGTCCACTCAAATGAACTAATTTTTCTTTTCTCAGCTAGATGCCAATATATCTTAGAGATAGTGAAAGGATTCCTACCGGCTCCAAGTAGTTAGAAAAGAAGAATATTTCTTTATGTAAGAAAATATTTCTCCACATCATATATTCAAGAGGTATACTTTTATAATTTTGTCTTCTATTTAATTAAAAAAAATTAAGAATTTTTATTGAAAATTTGATGCAAGGTTTTTCTAATTTAAATTTATTTAGGATGAAATATTTTACAATTTTAGATTTCATGAAGACATTCTACCATTTAACAAGAATCTTAAGGTATAGTTGAGCATAAAATATTCTGATTTAAATAAAAGATTTGTTAGAGCTCCACTTTTAGCAAGCTTATAGTCAAGCTAACCTTTTTAGCAAAAAGAACGTAATGATACCAAAATTGATCCAATATGAGTCCGATCAAACACAACCCAGCCATGGAACCACATTAAAAAGTTTTGGGTAGTTAATTAGATAGTCAAATAAACTCTAAATTTGAAATAATTATTGTCAAATCGACCGTATCGCCGAGAGGAATCCAACAAAGCCCAGGATCACACGATTTTTTAGGTCATTTAGACCCTCAAATCATTAAAAATTCAAATGATCAGGGGTGACCACTATAGGTTATCGATCAAGTGGCCAGGGAAGTTACTCACCAAAGAACCAATAACCACCTCTACTAAGGAAAAATATTACATCAGGACTCCTAAATTAGAGCTACGTTCGGAGTCCACCGATATGCGGACACGTGACTTTAAGAAAATATGTGCGCTTTCCTGTGATCTGACTCGGTAACACAGGAGAATATTCCTCATGTGTTATTCAGATGTTATTTTGATGGTATTGATGTGTTATTGTGTTATTATAACACCGAGAAATTCTCAAAACACAATAACACATGAATATCACCACAATAACACCTGAATAATGTTGAATAACAAGGAAGGAATATTCTCCTGAGCTAAAACAATTTTTTTTTTATTTTTATGTCACATCCACGTGTTCGTATATCAGTGAACTCCGAACGTAGCTTTACGTTAGGAGTCATGATGTAATATTTTTCCCTCTACTAAAGCCCAAAAATAGACCCCTCTTTTACTTAAGGGGAAAAGAGGAGTCTAATTTTAGTGTTATTTTGAATTGAAGACTCGATGATAACTTCCTGCCTCCGTAGCTGTGGTAGTAGTTGGTCATGTATGAAGTATGCAGTAGCTACAGGAGTATTGGTTAGCCACAACAGTTATAATAGGGAGTAGTGATAGAGTTCGTAGGCCGCAAATGCCAAAGTTGAGAGTTACATGAGCTGTGAGCTTGGTAGGTCTTAGTGAGGAACTGTAATAACGTCAGTATATTGTAGAGGCTAAAGTTGGGAGCTACGTGAGCTATGAGCCATGTAGGTCACAGTTGGTCACATCGGTTGTAGTCGATAGGTGTAATAATGTATGTAGGCCACAAATGTCGTAGTTGGGAGCTGTGTGAGTTGCGAGCCAAGCAAGCCATAATTGATTTAGACCATAGTAATGACCATATTATGTTATTGCAGCTCATGCTATAGCCTAAACCAATTTAGAATTGATAAATTTCGATGACATTATATTCGTCTCATTGATTCGGTTAGTTTGATTGTAAGTTTGTTGAAATCAGAGTCCTGGATGATTTTAATTTGAAATTTGAACGTTTCTTCCTAAGAAAATATTCTTGAGAATAGTGTCAAATGACAACTTGTTGATAATGTATTAATTTTTTTTATTTGGTTGGTAAAATAACTTCTTATAAAATTTTTGGATTGAGGAATTATCTTTCAACTCAAATATTTTCCCTTCTATAAAGTACAAATCGTTCCTGAATTATCATTTGAAATCTAAACCAGCTAAGAAGAAAGAAATTATACTTTTGCACGGCATGGTAAGAACAAGAGCAACTTATAACTGGCTGATCAAATTAGATATTCAGTCTTCTCCGGGTATTGCAAGCTTCCTTTTTATGGTTGATAAAATTATTGGACAAAATTTTATTAAAGGGTAAAAATAATAAATTCTCTAAACTATATTAGCAGGAATTATTAAATTTCATATCATATACATAGAAATTTCATATTTTAGGGCAAAAATAATATATACTTTTGGATAAATGTCAGTCTAAAGCTGAGATGGAAAATGTTGAGACAATTTTAAAAAAAAAAAAAGAATTTGTACCCCTTTAAATATTAATACATGCTGTGAGA